CTGCCATCAGGTAAGTTTAGGTCAAATGCTCTGGGAAGTACCAGCCCTGTCTCTTTTCTGGCAGGCCCCATACCAGAGGGAAGGGATTAAGAATGTATAGGGGCCCCTTGCTGAGCAAGAAAGGAGGGCTTGGTTTGGCAGAAGGAAGGCCAGCTTCATTAGCAAGGAAAAGTATTACCTTGTCATTTTTTTCTAAATGGGAGGAGTTTTTGCCTGTATGTTTGGAACTGTTTTGGAGTCAGCCTCTTTTAGCTGGTGTTTTATAGGTTTGCTTTGCAACATGGCACAGCCAACCCAGGGAGATCTGTCATAGCAGCCCTAAAAGCAAGCCAGAACCATCAAATGTTTCAAATAAACTTTAACAAACATCACCATGGCCTCTGCCTGGGCCAGGAGATCTGCCATTGGCAAGCTTAGCTGACAGAGCAGGAGCAATGAGGCTCATTGTCAGGGGCCAGGAACTGTCAATAGGCTTTGTGTCCAGCCCAGGATGCTCATATGCATGTGGCTCCCTGCCTCTGAGCTCCCAGCATCTGCTGTTTTTCATAGTTACATGCTGGTACCTCATAGATACAAATGGACACCCATGGCACAAGAAGGAAGGGACCCTAACAACTTCGCCTGCTTGCTATCTTTTCTCACACACAAAGTCGCAGGGCCACAGCTGCCACAAGATGTGAACCCTATTCAAACTTAATATCACACAATGAGATGAGAACTGAGGCTGAACAGAGGCCCAGAAAAGAATCTGGACAAGGTCAACTGTGTGTGAGTGATCTGAGTCTAGCTGAAGACCAGGCTGTAGGCTCTGGCTTCTGAATCTCATTTTAGTCCAAGAGTTCTGAAAAATCATCGAGCTAGTTTGGCTTTCTCCCTGCTCAAGATGTTTTGTGCGAAATGACACCCATCCTTGTCTTGAGTTTCTAGCCGGAGAGAACCAGTGTGGCATAAATATCAGAGCACTCACTGGTTTGTGTTCAAATCCAGTGATGGAGAAATCTAGGTGATTGCTATGAAGTGAAGGGTAGATTTGCAGGAAAGATAATTCTCAGCCCCTCTCCAAGGAAAGACACAGCCAGAATGCTTAACTTCACCTCTGATAAATGTCAGCTAGAGTCATGACTGGAATGGATTCCAGGAGGGGAAAATCACTCCTATCCGTCACTCATGATTATGCTTTTCAAGAGCCAACAGGCAAATTGTACAGGCAGCAGAAGGCATCTAAATTCACAAGTCAATGGTCTCTTCCCACCACCTTCTCACCACCAGGATGGAGACCAAGGTTGCTTTGACTTACCTATAAAATATGCCAGCAAAATGGCCAAGAGAAGGGCCGCAGCGATGGCGGACAGGGCAGCGCATTTCCAACTGCAGTATTTGGAGGGCTTCTTCAGCTTGAAGGCCTTCCTGGAGAACGTATTCCTCGGCAGCAGGCGGGGTGGTGGTGTGTAAACGGTTCCTGAGGTCAAAGGGTATCCTGGAGAAGAGCTGCTGAACAGGGGTGTGCTTCCAGAGGATGTCTTAAAGAGGAAGTGCCTGCAAAGAGACGTGGAAGAGTCAGCCTGACCGTGGTTGCCTAATGAAGACTTAGCTGTCGTTCCTTTTACTTCTTATCATTCTAGTAAAATGTTAGTTAACTCTCCTTACCTTGGCAGATGTGTGTGTGCAAAGATTATTTTGGCTGGTGATGCACCTCAATTCCACAAGCTTGCCTAATTTTATACTTTCACAGATGTACACAGATGCATATAGGAGAATTCGGCAAAGTGTTCAAAGCAAATATGAAAAGTGAATTACTGTCAGTCACTCAGAAATGATGACAATGATGCTGATGCTAAGTATTATCACTTTTTAGATATGTGCAATTGAAAGGCACTTAAAATGTGTTGTCACCACCATTTACAAACTAAATGTTATAATATCCCTAATTTAGAGCTGAGACATCGGATTGGGAGAAGTCAGGTAACTGGCTAGGGATTTAAACCCGAAGCTCATTCTTTTGCTAAAAATCTCTGCTGTTAAATATTACCCCAGACTGCCTCTTTCCCCCTCCATTCACATACATTTTCATCTCTCCTTCTACTAGCAGTAACCATTTGTCACTTTTCCTGCTCAGTCTGCATCTTTAGGTCTTGTGATCATGGTTACTTTTAAAAGACATCTTTGCCCATCAATTGAACATGGTATCCTTGGTACCCAGACCTATAATGTGATAACTATATAATAGAACATAAAGTATGAAAAAACATGTGACTTCTCAGAGGATGGCCATTCCAAAGATACTTCACAGAGCATCAATGTCTGACAATGGATTATTTTCCTTCACATATATGCCAAGGATAAGATTTGATGTATAACTGGCTACATTTTATTTAGAACAAGGACATGTCCAGGAGGTGAAAGGTATGGATGGCTAATCAGATTCTGAGTTCAGCTGCTCAGGGAAGGGGCTGTATCTCACTTTGGACCTAGTTCATCCTCATGTTTCTAGACCCGTTTAGTAAATGCGTGCATGCATGCATACATGAGTGAGTGACTGGAGTCCTCCATTATTTTATAGTTGCATTTGCTGCAATTCTAAGATGCAAAAATGTCGACAGGCATTTTCTTTTTCCTCACACTTTCAATAGATGCATTTTTACATTTTTGATACAGATTCTCTGTATGTGGTCCTCTGACTGTCCTGTAAACTCACTATGTAGACCAGGATAGCCTTGATCTCACAGAGATCCACCTGACCTGCCTCCTATGAGACAGATGTGCGTCACCCATCACCCACACCCAGTGAATAAATGTATTTTCACTTACTGGCTGTTTATAATCTGCCATCATACCATATATTTCACTTACACCTCACATGAGCCCCATGCTGTGCTCAATAAGACTACCCAGTTTTATATATGAGAATCGTGAAGCTTGGAGTTAGAGAGTAGGAATATGACCTGGGCTTGTGGTGGTTTGAATGAGAATGGCCCCCATAGATTCATATGCTTGAATCCTTGGTCCTCAATTTGTGGAACTGTTTGGGAAAGACTAGGAGGCATGGCCTTGTTGGAGAAGGTGTGTCACAGGGTCTCTGTGGCTTCCCAGTGTTCTCTCTCTCTGCCTCCTATTTGCTGATCAAGATATGAGTTCTTAGCTGTTCCAGCCACCATGTCTGTGGCTTGTGGCTTGCTGCCACACCACTCCAACATGATGGATTCAACTCTCAGGAACCTTAAGCCCAATTAAATGTTTTCTTTTATAAGTTGCCTTGGTCATGGTCTAGCAAGACCTATTATTATACCACACTACCCTTTCTACTGAGGACTCCCAGACTTTTCCAGAGGAATCTATAGGCAATATCACTGTCATTATCAGTTCTTGTATCTTGGCTACATACAGAAAAAATATTTAAAGTATTGGTATGACTGAGAATCATGTCAGACATGTGTCTGATTAGCAAAACAAGTAATATAACTATCATTAAAGCAAACAACTGATATTTAGACCTGATTTGTGCTATAAATATGTTCAATTATCTTGATAAAGCATGCACATTTAATTCCATAAATAAAACTTCATATTTCTTGCCAGTAACTCTTTTTAGAACATCACACACACACACACACACACACACACACACACACACACACACACACACACAGAGAGAGAGAGAGAGAGAGAGAGAGAGAGAGAGAGAGGGAGAGAGAGAGAGAGAGAGCATGTCATGCCTGCCATGCCATGGTATACATGTGGAGGGCAGAGAGCAACATACAGGAGTTGGTTCTTTTTTTCTGCTATGTGGGTCCTGGGGTTCAAGCTCAGGCTACTAGGTTTGGTATCAAGTGTCTTTAGTCACTAATTCAGTGGTTCTCAACCATCATAATGCAGCAACCCTTTAATACAGTTCCTCATGCTGTGGCGACCCCCAGCCATAAAATTATTTAATTGCTACTTAATAGCTGTCATTTTCCTACCATTATGAATTGTAATGTAATAATATGTAAGATATGATATGTGCCTCCTAAAGGAGATCATGATACACAGGTTGAGAACCATTGCACTAATCCATTGCAATGGCCCCAATAGCTCTTTTCTAATAGGTTCAATGAATAGTCTTTTGGAGAGGAGACCCTAGATAGAAGGTTTAAGGGAGCCAGAAAGTCTTGCATTTGTTCCTAGCAGTGTTCTTCATGGACAAGTTAGCTCACACTGGTTACCCAGCCCTACTCTTGAGCATCACTATCATGGGCAGTACAATCACAGGTGTTGCATATGCAGTTGCTACACCAACCACACAAGACAATTCAAGAAAAGCACTTAGTCTTTTCTTGAGAGAGTTTAGAGTTTCTTAGAGAAACTTAGAGAGTTTCATGGTAGCTGCTGACTTCTTAATGACTAGCTTTTACTAAGGAAGTTTGGAACAACAGAAAGAGCTCAAAATCCAAGTTTTAATTTAAATCTTGACAATCGTGGAACACACATTTCAAGAACTTCCCAATCTGCTCAGTAGTAACCCCACTGTCTCTTAAGCAGTGGAAACAACCAACAAAAATTTAAGATATGGCAGACACTCTGACACTTGATTTAGGATGCCACAAACTTGTTTTTCTTGAACCATTGGCAACATGTAACTCAATTAAAAAATATATATGAGTCTCAACTCTCATGCCCCCAGTGGCCTGTCCATTCTCATGGCTTCAGCCATCACTGAGATGTCTGCATATCTAGCTCAGTTTGTTCCTCAGGTATGGACCCATGTTCCTACTGTGTAGCAAACGACTTGTCTTCCACATTGTAGGTC